GCAACTACCAGACTTTATTTATTTTGGAAAAAGGGAGTTAGAGCTTCAATGTATAAATTTGGAGCAGGGGCAACAAATATCAAGTCCATAACAATATGTAACTATTAAGGTGTTTGCATTTTATCTAAGAGAAATGTGGATCTATTTTACCATTTCAAGCAGGCAAGTGATACAATGAGATCTGTCTTTTAAAAACAGGCTACAGCCAAGACTGGTTTGGCTCAGTGGATAGAGCATCGGCCTGCGGACTGAAAGGTCCCAGGTTCGATTCCGGTCAAGGGCATGTACATTGGTTGCGGACACATCCCCAGAAGGGGTGTACAGGAGGCAGCTGGTCGATGATTCTCCCTCATCGATGTTTCTAGCTCTCTATCCCTCTCCCTTCCTCTCTGTAAAAAAATCAATAAAATGTATTTTAAAAATAAATATTATAAAAACAGGCTACATTTTATAGATTGGGTTAAAATACACAAAACTGGGGATAAGAAGATGACTTAGTGGTTGGGAAAGTAATTCAGGTAAAAAATAATACAGTTCAAATAGACTAGGATAATGGTTGTGAAGATAAAAAGTATACCAATTGCAAAGATGTTTGAAAGTCATTCAACTCAACAGCCCTTAGTTATAATTTCTGGCTTGAGAAATTGAGAGCTATTTTTTATTGAAATTTGGGTTACATACAAATTTCCCTTTTGGTGTTGTCCCCCAAAGGGAAATATATATGGTCCTTTTGGTTCACATTTTAGTTCAGATTCTTTCAGGGCAACTGCATGGAGATATTGAATGTGTATGTGGATATTTAGTTCTGAGAACTAGATAGAAAATAATTCATCACTAAATTTTCATAATGTCCATGCTTAAAGCACAGAAATCATAATAGGCTTTTAAAAGTTAAAGTATAGTGAGCTGCTAATTTAAGCCTTGCCTTAAAATATATTAAATGGCACTAAGGAAAAAACTTTATAATATCTGTTCATCTCATCTTTTCTTCATTTTTCATCATTTTATAAGTGGAGGAAATTTGAGGCTAATGGACACAAGATAGTCTGCCACAATCTAACAGAATTTAATGGTGATAGAACTTAAACTCACGTCTCCATGTTTCCCTGCCAAAGTTCTAGCAGAAGCACATTGGCATCTTAGGATCTCAAGTTCATGTCAAAAGAAGGTAGGCTAACCCTTCCAATTCAAGAGTCTATAAGTTGATGGCTAGATAACTATTATTTCTATAAATAACCAACTTTAAAGACCCAACCTAACTCCACTTGTAGTTATTGAATCCAAAAGGTAGGAAAAATAGGGGTGGAGCAAGGAAAGCCAAGTTCTTGACTCAATTCTAACAGTGGCTCAGTGTATGACCCAGTGTACACTGATTCTCTTTGTACCCATTTGTAATTAGAGGTGAGAATTACTGAGATGCCTTCTTTCTCTCAGGCTATGAAACTAATACTAGAAAATTTACAATGATATTTATACACAGATGTGGAAGTAATCGTTTCCTACTGTATGTTCCCTTTGCACTCTGAACATGTCTCTATTATTGTACCTGCCAGATTATAATATCTCATAACTGTGAGTATATAGGTTTGTCTGCATGGCTAAACTAAGAGACTCTGGAGGGTAGAAATTAGGTAAAATTCACCTTGGCATCTCTCAGTTTCTATAACATCATTTGACCCATAGCAGGTGCTCAAGAAATTTTTCTGAATGTTAAGAAAAAGAAATGTTTTTGAAAATTACTCAACAACAACAAAATCCTTAAGATGTTTGGCTTTGAGACATAAAAAGTAAACAACAACAAATACATTAAGACCTTAGATCCTCAAAGAAAAAAATTCATTGTTAAAGCAGGGGAGTCTCTAATGACCTTTCAGCACTCTGGAAACTGTCTCTCAAAATAAATTTTAGTTCTTAGGGACTTCTCAGTTTATAAGACAAACTAACAGCTTCTTATTAAATCTTTACAAAAACCTTTCAAATTAGATTTTATTATCCCCACTGGACATAAAAGGAACCTGAGTTGGAGAGAAGTTAAGTCATTTGTACATGGACATTGGAAGGTAGGAACTCAACAGCTACTGCTATGAAACTAGCAGGATAGTCATGTTTAATTAATTCACTAAACCATATTAACTGAGCAGAATGTACAAGGCAGACAACTAAGTGCATTGGAGCATGATAGATGATTCAGACACATCTTAAGGACAGTCTTCAGAGTCTAAGCCATGGACAGAGATAACCTGTAAGAAAGAGATTCCATTTTATGGGAGTGCTGGGGGGAGAAAAGAAGGGGGGGAATTAAAGAGAACCTGTTGGACAATGATGTGTTTGTTTGTTTGTTTGTTTGTTTTAAATATATTTTATTGATTTTGTATAGAGAGGAAGGGAGAGAGATAGAGAGTTAGAAACATCGATGAGAGAGAGTCATTGATCAGCTGCCTCTTGCACACCCCCTATTGGGGATATACCCACAACCAAGGTACATGCCTTTGACCGGAATCAAACCCGGGACCTTTCAGTCCCAAGTTGACGCTCTATCTATTGAGCCAAATCGGTTTCGGCTGGATAATGATGTTTGGTCTGAGGATGGGCAAGAGTGAGACCAGGGGAGGGACATTCATGCAAAGGGAGAGAGGATAATAGTCACATTAACGGGAAGAGAAGCACTGGTGAAAGGGCAAAGGAGAGAGGAGGAATGAGATAAAAATAGCATATATATATATATATATATATATATATATATATATATGCTATTTTTATCTCATTTTATTTCATATATATATGAAAGTCTAAGCGACCATTAGGACCAAACAACCAGAACAACCAGTCAACCATTCACTATGATGCGCACTGACCATCAAGGGGCAGATGCTCAATGCAGGAGCTGCCCCCGGGTGGTTAGTGCACTCCCAAGCTAACCTCCTACAGCCCCTATCCCTGGCCAACCCCCTAATTCTCCACAATAGGAGGGGCCAGCTGACCAACCTCCCATGGCCTCTCCCCCACCCCCACCCCCAGCTGGCTAACCTCTTGTGGTTCCTCCCCTTGTGCCCCAGTGGGGGGTGGGGAGGATCTGGTAGGCCAAATTTCCACAGTCCCTCCCCCCCAGCCAGCCAGGCCCCCTGATATGCCTCGATTGCCAGATAGGCCGAGGGACCCCACCCATGCACAAATTCATGCACAGGGCTCTAGTATTAGATACATTGATTTTAAGGTTCTGGTGAACATCTCAGTGGAGGTATCAATCAAGCAGTTGGAAATGCTGGGCTGGAATTAGTGGAAGAAATAGGAAATGATAATATACTGTTGCAAAACAGAGAGGGGGGGGAAGGGAAGAGAGAGGGGGGGGGGAGAGACACCAAAGAACCATGGAGACAACAACATCCAAAATGTGGGAGAAGGGAGAGGAACCAAAGAAAGGGTAGTCAAGAGGTAGTCAAGAGGTAGAAACCGAACAACAGTAGATTAGTAGATCAGCAGCCCCTTCCTGGATACCTACTCTCAGAATATGAAGGTTCTGTAAAGAGGATTTAGAAAGATGTACAAAGTTAAGGAAAATGAAGACTAAGAAAAAGGCCATGAAATGTGGAAAGTAAGAAGTTACCTGTGATATCCGAGGGAGCAGTTTTGATCAAATTAGGGAGGGTGTGAAAGGATAAAAGGGAAATTAACCCTTGACCAGTTCACTCCTTAAAGGGGTTGAGGAGTGAACTGGTCAAGCAACAAGGATAAATTCAAGAACTTTGATGCAAGCCATGAGAAAGTTCAAAATACTAAGAGCTCTTGACTCCTCTTGTTGTCTTTATAACCAAGAACAATTAGTTGCTTAAAATGAGGGCTTCAATTCATTCCATGGAATTGAACTGGACTAATTAATTACCCACTCATTCACATCCTTACCTTATAAGCATCATGTTCCAGACAAATAACATTACACAGAAGATTTGATTTTTAAAACTTGGAGTGTCATTTGCAATTTTGTAGCAAGATGAGCAGAGTCATACATAAGTGCTCCTTGAGAGGCTCTGCACTATCCTGGGTGTACTATCGCTGTACAAAACCTGCTCTGATTCCTTCTTCAATGCCGTTCTCTTGGTACTGAGGCAGCTATGAGGCCCATGATAACCTCTCCAATAATAGCTATTACTGCTGTCATCACTGTTACAATTTCTCAACTTCACTGCCTACATTATGCACTAGACTTGCCTCTAAATAACTTTGGACTCTTTCCAATTTGAAACTGCCTCAAAAACCAAAGATTTGTCACCACCGAGTATATTCTGAAGGATATTCTCTCAAAGGTTTCAAAAGCCATTCAGATGATGGTAGCACCACTGGAAATACAGCTCAACTTGTAGTGATTTCTGAGGGAAGCACACGTGTTTGTTCGTAAGCTCACATTTTTACCCCAGCTATTATGTGTCTCTATGTAATCCATCAGCATCTGGACTGCTCGCCTTATACTACAAATTCCCAAGTGATGAGGTTCCTGCTTCAAAGACCAATACCCTCAAATAAAAATAAATAAATAAATAAATAAATAAATAAATAAATAAATAAATAAATACAAACCCACAAGGCAAACAGATTTAGCCAGATTGGGTGACAAGAATGCCAAACCTAGAAGAGGCACACACAGAATAACGCGTGGCCTTACACAGTCATCACCCTCGCTGGGGTCAGTTTCTTCACGCATAAAGTGAGGGGGTTGGACTGAAGGACTTCTAAGATGCCTTTCTTCTGGAATGAAGATCTGGGAGAGGTTATAGCAGTCTTGGGAGCAGCCCCAGATCCTCCAAGAAATGGGGTGCCCCCTCCCCTGCTCCTGGAGGGCAAAGCGAGGTTTCCCAGCCTAAGTGAAAGCAGCCTCCTCCCCTCTGTGTGGGGCATTTGTTAGTCTTGTTCTTTGCTGCCCACCAAGGGAGCTGTTGAAAGGACAGCTCTGATCCCCTCAGCACCCCGTCAGCACTATGTCTATGGGTGGGGCAAGGGGTCCTTACCCATTGTGTTGTTGGCTCGGGAACAGGGTGTGCGCTTCAGGATCTCATGCACCTAAAACGGATGAGAGCAGGGCTGTGAGGGCCTTGACCGCGTGCGTCACCACATATGGGGGGGGGGGGGGGGAGGGGAAGGGCGGGCGGGGACCTGGCTGCTAGAACTGTTTCCAGGGAGGGGGAAGCCAAGCATGTGCCGAGCTCATGGACTGCTTGTCAAAACCACTCAAACTTGAGTGCTCTGAGGAAACAAAGAATCAACACACACACACACACACACACACACACACACACACACACACACACACACCCTTCACCCCACCCTGAAAATTTTTTAAGAAAGGAAAGGCTGTAAGTTTCAGTTACAGGAGGCAAGGAAAACACATCAGGGAGCCCAGACCCACAGCGCCCTCTGGAGGGATGGGAAGGAGGCACCTGGTGGTGTAGATGATGCCCTGTCTGCCTTGGGGAAGAAAGACCAGGAGAAGGATGTCCTTCCTCTCCACCAGACCTTTTTAGTGCCATGCTGGGTCAGCACAGCAGAGGGAGGCAGGCAAATCCGATTCTAGCAGAGGGGGTCCTGAGCAGCTCCGTGAGGTTCATTGCCTCCTCTGAGGTAGAGCTATGTCACAGCTGCTTTAAGGAACCATTTTCGCATTTTGTAAACTGTAAAAGGGCCACCTATGTGTTGACCATCAATATTATTATTCTCGTTTTTCTCCTGAGTCTTCAGCTTGCCTCCCCAATCAGAGCATATCATACATTTTCTCAAAATTCCATGCCTCAGAGCACATCCCGGACACCCAGCGGGCTGCCTACTCAGTGACTACTGCATGTCTAAATGGACCAACAAACCCTGGACTAGGGATTTTCAGGGGAGACTCTCTCATGGGACAGAGGAGTGCTGAGGATACCCTCAGCAGAGAAAACAGGGACACAGGTGGCCAAGGTAAACCTGTGGGCCAATCACTACCCTTCAGTGTGTTCTAAGCCTGTGCCAAGCTATGAAAGATGCCTAGCAAGGAAGTTTGCATGGGGATAAATAGCTGGGCTGCTCAGGTGCCCACAAAAAAAGGCACATAGAAGACATTTAAGATGTGGATGAGGTCCTCAGGGCAGAGTAGACCCCAAGACAAAAATCAAGGCTCTTTCTCTTCTCAGTGTGGGATGGACTGACAAAATGGCAGGATGGGAAGGAAGAAGTTTCTAGAAGAGATGAATGAAAAATGTGTTACTCCATCATTATTCACACTCCCACATTCCAGCCACAGTCCTAGAGGGAGCAGTAAATAAATATCTCCTAGCAGAATGGGGCCCAGGAATGTTTAATTCATTTAAAATACAGTGCAGCAATTCAACAGCAATAATAATTAAGAATAGCATTTATATGGCATTGTATTACTTTACAAGCACTTTGCAATTATCGGGTAATCTCCACAACACCCTGTAATTCCCTCACAGACGTGAGATCCAAGCCTCAGGGAGATTTAAATAGCTTATAAAAGCATAAACCAAAAAAATGAAAAGTTTATGGATTTTTACATAAAAAGATGAAAGAAATCATATGCTTATTTTTTTAAGAATGGTTTCTTGATTTTTAGAGAGAAAAGAAGAGAAAAGGGAAAAACATCAATGTGAAAAGGGATGTGCCTGATCAGGAATCCAACCAGCAACCATTTGGTGCAGGGGATGATGCTCAACCAACTGGGCTACCCCAGCCAGGGCACATATGTCTATTTTAAACCTTCCTAAGACACTAGGGTAAGGGACCTAAAGTATTTTCTTGCCCATCCTGCAGAGTCATGGCCATGTTTTCAGCATGCCTTGGAAATGTGCTGTAGCCTCCTCTAATCACCTCTCTTTTTATCCTTCTTATCACCCTATTGACTTGGAAGTTTTGCTGAGTATCTAACCCTTATTCCTCCTTCTGTTGAAACTTAAGTTCTTTCCTAGGGACCAATGGAAATTCACTGCCATCGTTTCCTCTGTGTTATGAATAAGAGTCAAGCATTCCTTGGGCCCCTCTTCTCCTCCTCTGTTCATAAACTGAATGTTCTCTAAATTGGTAGAGAATATACTAATCAGTGAGTAAACCAACCATCAGGTTGGTTTACTCACTGATTAGTAAACTATACATCAGGTTGGGGACACAGGGGCACAGGCCATATGCAGATTTTCACTGGAATCAATCATCCTACAAAATTCAAAAATTTGACTTCATGATTTTTCAGGCAAAGAGACTGTAAAAGGACAGTATAGTCAGGAATTTTGGCTTTCTAGTAAATGGGTTGTAATTTTATTCTTGGACAAACTGGTGTGTTTTTACATTCCCTGTGACAGGAATGCAAGGACTCCTTTGAGAGTGAAAGAAAGAAGCACAGTGGCTCAGCCATGAGTTCTCATTTGGACATTAATGATCTGTTTAAATTTTTTTCAACTCATTGCTTCTCAGAGCTTCAGTTTCCTCAACTGTAAAACAAGGGGGTTTCCTGACTACCAGAAAGTCCCCACCAGCTCTGAGAGTCTCTGTTTTGTGATTCTAAGAAGGGTATAAGTAGAGAACTTTAATGAGAAGACACTCCTATTAACCTTGAGTGAGGACAACTTTCTGCTTTTTTTTATTGAATTTATTCAAGTGACTTTGGTTAATAAAAATGATATAGGTTTCAGGTGTACAATTCTATAACACACCATCTGTGTATTGTATTGTATGTTCACCACCCCAATCAATTGTCCTTCCAACACCATTTATTCTCCCTTTACTCTCATATGCCTCCCCGTCTCCCTTTCCTTTTCTGGTTTTCATCATATTGTTGTCTGTATCTATGAGTTGAGTTATCTATTTTTGTTGGTTTTTATTTAACCTCTTTACCTTTTTCACCCCACCCCTATTTCCTTTTCTTCAGACAACTGTTAGTCTGCTTTCTTTTGCTACTGGGATTAGAAAGCATCTGCACATTTCTCTCAGTTGCTAGACAACTCTAAGCAACTAACAATGGGAGGTAGCAGGGAGGGCAAGAGGATGTCCTGCCAAACTGGGTACCGGTACTTGGTTTACCCCCACCATTTCCCAGGCCCATCACACCTGGTTGAGCACCTGGTTAGCCTGTTTACTCACAATTCGGCTACGGGTGGCATTGTCAAAGAAGGTGTCCTTATCCTGGATGTTGTACCTGGAGATATCAAGAAAGCAGAAGGTCAACTAATTTAGTACCCTTGTCCTGAGACCACTTCACCCAGGCCCAGAGCAAATTTTTAAAAAGCAGCATAGCAATAAGTGTAAGACACACACACTCACACAAACTCCTATTTATTTATACTCTTTTTGACCCAGTGATTCTGAAAACTTATTATAGAAATTTATCACAGAGAAAATAAATTTAACAGAAGAAACAAGTTTCATATATTAAAAAAAGTTACTTTCAATAAGGTTATGGAGATACAATGCAATTCCAAAACCTATATGATAAAATTATCATGTAGCCATTGAAAATTATGATTATTAAAACTTTATAAATAGAAAATAAATTCTCAGATTGTCATAAAAAATATTATACTATAAGTTTTAAAAATAAATGAATGTTAAAAGGATTCCTGTGTGTGGACAAAGGGAGTAAAAACACACAACAGCAAAAAGAGTATAGCTTTAGGATGTTGGAATTATAACTCTCTGTTTTTCAGAGAGTCATTTAATGTTGTCACTATATCATATTAGTTAGGTACCAGAGTCCTAATTATTCAAGGCCTGTATCTGTTCTAACCTTCAAATATTGACCTTTCACTCAAAAAATAAAAATCCCAGGTGTGTAGAGTTACTGTGCTTGGGACACTGTACCAGAGGACACACAGATGCATGAGACATGTTCCCAGCCCCTAGGAGTTCAGACACTGGAGTACATATGTTTCCAAACAACTCATGTAAAATAGACGTGATAATATGTAGACCATTGTTATGAGAAGTCCGAGGATGGAGACCATATTCTGGTTGAAAAGATCAGAGAATTCTTCAAGAAGATGGTGTTTAGGAACTGGACTTGAAGGATCACAGAAGCTGAATGAATGGGACTATGTGGGAGGGGCAGTTCGATGCCAGGATTGGCATGAAGAAAGGTCCAGGGAAGGGGAAGCACAGAAGAAACACAAAGCACAAAAAGAATAGCAGGCCAGGAGTCAGCATGCCAGTTCCAGGAGTCAGCATGCTGGACGGGGTCATGGAAACCTCTGATTTATAATTAGTCATTTAGAAGTGCAGGTAACAACTTGAACTTGTAATTGGCATCAGAAGAAGAGTGGGGCCGTCGTGTAGGATTGAGCTGTCAACCTGGGAAATCTGATACTATCTCCAGGTAGACAGTGTCAGAATTGGTTTCAAATGTAAGACATCCAGCTAGTGTTGGAGAATTTCTTGTTCATCTAGGAAAACACACACACACACATTGGAATTGGTGACCAGAGTTAATGCCAGAACCATTGAGGAGGGCATTCAATGAGGGAACATATGCAAAAGAACAGCATATATATGTGTATAGAATCATTATGGAATATGGCAAAGATGCAAAGAATATATTTATTCAATGGCCAACAGAAACACAGCTCCTATAAATACCATCTCCTCAAAAGAGACAGGTCTTCTGCCTCTCAATGCTCCTTCCTTTCCCTCTCTTGCTTGATTCTCTTATCTTATCAGCAGCAAAAGTCACACAATAGTCTTATTTTTTTCACTAGCTCCTAAAATAGAATAAATGCTGGGCTATTGCATCTGCCACTTTCCAACCATGTCTTCCCCATCCAAAGTTTTCCCAAATGGCCATCCCTATGAATAGCTGTTATTCCCTCACCCAGGGTTGGGTGTGGGAAGCAGGTCTCTTCACAGTCAATACATTTATGAATAGGCAGCTGAAAATATAGAAATCCAAAAGCTTCATCCACCTTCTCTTTGGTTTATCACAGCAAATTAAAATCTTATCAGACTGGGAACTATGCAGAATAGTTTCCCCACAGAAGATAAACAGGTATCGAGTCCCAATGTTTATAATTGTCTGCTCCCTGATTCTCCATCCATCATGCAAAATGACTGAAATGTCAGGTTTCCCCCAAAGCCACTGGACAAATAGTTATGAGTTATTTGTGATAATCTCACATACAGAAGGAGATGCAGAAAATATTTCACCAGGAGAGTATGTTTCCTCCCCCTCTTTCCCATGCATGGGGCACTCTCTCTATGACTGAGTGGAGTTTGATTTTCTTGCCCATCCTCCCTCATATCCCTACCCCTGCAGTTCTATTACTCACAGGTACATTTTCTCCCTGGAGAATGGGTAGGAGAGGTTTTTCATCCTGTTGTTACTATGCTCTGGAACTCTGGGCTTCAAGGGTGAGCTCAGATTCTGCAGAATCTCATTGAACTTCTTGGCAATGCCGCCTTCTGATTTGATATCATACATCTATGAAAGACAAAGTCACAGGTCTGAAAGAAGGCCATACCCAACATTCAGAGAAGAGTGACTTACCAACCAAAGCTCCATGAGGTCCAGATCTCTGGAGGGGACCACTCTGGGGACAGAGGAGACTGGGAGAAAAAAGAAGTAGGATCCTTCCCTTTCCCTATTGCTTTCACAAGAACATAGGCCCTCTACTCCCTCTAATTATTTGTGTAAGTAGAGGTGACCAACATAAAGGAATGAGTGAGGAGTCCAAACTTTCTACATGACTTTGTTATAGAACCATAAAAGAAATGGAAAACCTACTATATGACAGTCACCATCCTGAAGCTTCAATGCACATAGCAACCCAGTTAGATAGACAATATTAGTCTCATATTATAATGAAAAAAATAAGGCTCAGAAATGTGAGATGAGTCAGCAATAATCACACAGGCAGTTATTGGGTGACAGCTTGGATTTAACTCATGTCAACCTAGTCCAAAGTCTACTCCACAACTACACTATGCCCCTATGTGATCACACAGCATCACTTTGTTTGTTCCTCTTAGGAACTATTTGATAAATGAGTCTGCTCTCAAAGTAATAAACATTTAATAAGTATCTGCTTTGAGTACAGCATAGATTAGTGCCAAGATAATCATTAATATTCATAGTTCACATAGCTTTTTATAATGCACATAATGCTTTTGCATGCATTACAACTTTTAGTCTTTCTAACTTACAGTTATAGTCACTGAAACATAATGTGATGAATGATGGCCACAATTTTTTTTACACAAATTCTCCTTTCAAAGGGTGGCATCTCTGTACCCACTCTCTTAAGTTTGGGTGGGCTCTGTGGCTGTTTGACAAGTACAGCAGAAGTGACACAATGCCATTTTCATCTTTCAGGTAGATGGGCAGCTCTGCCTTGGTCTCTCAAAGGCCTCGGCCGCCTGGAGGAAGTCTGAATTCAGAGAGGTGCAGAGAGGACTCAGAAAGGGAAAGAACTTGGCTGAGCTCAGCATCCTGGCTGCCCTCTAAGCATCAAGCATGTGAGGGAAGCCTTTTAGGACCACTCCTGTCCAGTTCAATCCCAAGCCAATACCACCAAGTGACCTCAGTCAACCCAGGTCTTGAGTGACCCAGGTCTGCTCAAGTTTCTGACCCAAAACTTTTAAGATAGAGTAAAATGAGTGTGTTTTAAGTTACTAAGTTTGGGCTAATTCGTCATGCTGCAATGGATAATTGGAACAAGAGCCAACATCCAGATCTTCTGACTTGAAAGCTAGTCTTCTTTTTCTAGTGATATCCTCAAATTGCTTAAATCTAGATAGGCAGTAAAACATGTACAGATACATATAAGATAGACAGAGATAAAAGCCACAAAAGTCATGCAAAATGCTTTGAGGGTTCAAAGGAAGGAGACAGCACATCCAGTTGAGAAATCAGAAGAATGTTTCATAGAGGGAGTGGTATCTCTATTGGACTTTAACAGAAAGGTAACCCTCTTCTGTTATCATTTTGTTCTTTAATAATAAAATTATGATAAGTTAGGGTTGGAAAGAACCACCCCTGTTTAACAATTGAAACATAACCACAGTTCATTTTTTCTAATAATTTTTGCTATGCAGTTTGATTTAATTTCTGTTATAAAATTAACACAGTAATAGTAAACAAACACAAACCATTGAAGTATGTTAACTAAATGTTAAGTTTCCTTTTTCTTCCAAATCAAACCTCTGTAGAAGAAATCTTTATTAGCAATCTGAGTATATTTTATTCTGACTCAGAAATACATTTATGACTGTATTACATCTTGTTCTAAACTGTGATTTTATTTCACATCTTCTATAATTAGCAATAGCTGACAAATATATATCTTTCCAGATCAGTTCACGTAGAGCTACCTTAATGAATATTACACAGTAGACATAAATCCTATTTTTTTTTTAGTCATTTCCCCAGTATTGGCCATTTATTTTATTTTCTTCACATACTTTAGCTTACTTGTCCATATTTCTATTAACACGACCTTATAAACACTTTTCATTGAACAAATTTAGGCAGATATTCCAGGCAAAAAAAAAAGTAGGAAAGTTCAAGTTGGGTTTAAAAAGGGTTAAATGCCCTGGTTTCTTTGGAGCATGAGGTTCTGACAGGGACATAGTGCCAGTGCCCATCAGAGAACAGAGGGTTGAGACCATATTGCACAAGGCCATGGGAAGTCAGTGAAGAGTCTGAACAATGACAAAACCAGAGTGAAGTTGTGTAGGAAGAAGAAGAATGAGCCAGATTTATGAAACAATTGTTTATTTTTAGGAGCACATACCATTTAGTAAGCATCTCTTGTGTGACTGACTCTTTTATTTTATTTTATTTTATTTATTTTTACATATTTTTTTGCCCCCCTCCCTCTCTCCCACATATCCCCTCCCTCCCCAGAGTTTTATGTCCATTGGTTATACTTATATGCATGTATACAAGTCCTTGGGTTGATCTATTATCTCCCCCAGATGCTCCTCCCCTCCCCACTGTAATTTGACAATCTGCTTGTTGCTTTACTGTCTCTATATCTATCTTTTGGTGACTCTTGATATACATTAGCATTAATCTGAAAGATATGTTGCAAAGCCAAGAGGAGTTAAGTATCTCAGTCAAATATAGTACGAGCCAGATAATAATTGCTGGAACATTTGAACTCCCAGCAAAGCCTGTGTTTCAACTGCTTTACACTCCTGCTTCATTTGTTAAAACATGAGTTATTGTGGGAAAACAACATTCAAAAAGATGACCTCCTCACACTGTCCCAGCACGTGTCACATAGGACATTTCGGGCAGGTTCTGACCTGGCCAGGTCCCTGCACTGAGACTGCCATGACGTGTTAATCATACCCATAAACACAAGCCTTTAAATGGCGTGTGCATGGAAATTAAGGTTTCAGAGCAGAAGGGAAGCTGGTGGACTCTGTCTTCCAGATGGCCTTGGAATGACAGACTTGGACTCACCAAGGGTATTTCTTCTTTGTCCACTTCTATTTCCAACTCTAGTTTCTTAGTCTAAAGAGCCTTCAACTACAGTAAGAACCGGTCTCCCCATATCTTCTCTTGCTTAGAGTTGTTAGATATAACAAATAAAAATATAAGATGTCCAGCTTGGCTGGGTGTGGCTCAGTGGTTGAGCATTCACCTATAAACCAGGAGGTCATGATTTGATTCTTGCTTGGGGTATATGCCCAAGTTGCAGGCTCAGTTCCCAGTGGGGGCATACAGGAGGCAGCCAATCGATGATTCTCTCTCATCATTGATATTTATATCATTTTCTCCCTCTCCTTTCCTCTCTGAAATCAATAAAAATATTTTTAAATGTAAGATGTCCAGTTAAATTTGAATTTCAAATAAACAAGAAATCTGTTTTAGTGTAAGTATATCCCAAGCCATATTTGGGACATACTTACACTTTAAAATTATACTTATATAAGAAAATAACTTTTTAATATATTTTTATTGATTTCAGAGAGGAAGAGGAAGGGAGAGAGAGAATCCTTAATCAGCTGCCTCCTGCATGCCCCCCACACCGAGTACCGAGCTCACAACCCCGGCATGTACTCCAACCATGGCCTCCTGGTTCATAGTTTAACACTCAACTGCTAAGCCACACCAACCAGGCAACAATAATTTTTAGCACAAGTATTATAAAGCATATTGGGACATATTTATACTAAAAAAAAAAAGTATTCATTATATATCCAAAATTTGAATGTAACTAGGCATCTGTATTTTATTCTGGAAACTCTGTTGTTCACCTCTAAATCATCCCCCATATTGGAGCCAGAGTGATGTTACTGAAGCAACAATCTTATTGTGTCACCTGCCTGGGAAAAAGTCTTCAACAATTACCCATTGCTCCTACAATAAAGACAAAAATTGTTAACAAAGCCCATGGGATTCTCTAGAAGGCTCCACATCGTATTTCATATGATAAGTACTACAAAGTGCCTCTCCTTTGTAGTACTTATCACAGTTGTAACTTTACATTTATTTGATGATTATTTGATTAATGTCCAGATGCCTCACCAAACCGTAATCTCCTTAAAGGCAGGATACTGTTCAAACTATTCCCTATCTTTGCATGAATGAATGATAAATCTCTGGGGAACCAGCATTAATTACACCAGTTGCTACCACAGAAGGAGCCCAGGATGGGGACAGGACATCCAAAATGTAAGAGATCTTGATAGAAATAAGTCAAGCTGGAGGGAAAAAGTCTAAAGCCTAAAACCTGTGTCTGGCTGAAAGGCTTCCTTCCTGTCCTCATTGATCGCAAAAGCACTCAGGAGCTGAGCCCCAGCAAGGCCAGGAATGCCTGTATTCAGTCATTTTAGAATAATAACCCAGCAGTTGTCTCAGGGCCCAGTTCTGGTATAAGGGTAGCTAAGAACCTATAAGCAGTCCTTGACCCTCATCTTAGCAGTGTATCTGGAAGAACTCACTTAGAGAAAAAGGCTAAAAGGTGTGGGCAACTGTCATATGTCTTTAAAGGGACCAGGAATAGGACCAGTACAAATGTTGACTGTTTTTGATGGAGTTGTGCTTCAAATCACTGAGAATAATACTGTCTGCCTTAGGGCAAAATGTAGAAGGTGTAAAAGGCCAGTGTCCCACCAGAAACCTCAAGGTAACATCCGAAAAAAAACTTACATAAACATGCCCCGGCTGAAACACCATGCTGACTTATATCAGAAAGATATTTCCCAGATTTCAGGGATTTGGGGAAGATGGAGCCAGACATATACCCACAATAACACAGAGGTGAGTGGCCTCGTGGTATAATACCATGGACACTAGGCTTGGCTTCCTACTCCACTGGGCCTTTGCATGTGTTGCATCTGCTCCTGGAACTTCTCCCCTCCTTTTCTACCTGGATTACTCTCCTTCTCCTTCACCACTAGGTTCAAGTGTCAACTTTTCCAGGAAACATTTCTTGGTCCCTCACTTCCTGCCATGCTTCCTTAGTACCC